CCTTAAAAAAAAAAAAAGTAGACAGCATGGATTAAAGAAGATTAAAAGACGCAGAGCTTTATGTTATGTGAGAGATTTCTGTCGGGGCCAATAAATACCGACCCTTAATGATTCACGTAGTGTCCTCATGGATGTACATACAAGTATCACTTTGATACTGATGAAACTGAAAACCTGGTTCTGGAGTAAATGGGGGACATCTCATTTCTGTGGGGTTTTTAAGTGTATTTATGGACATATAATCACAGATAAGATATATTCTCAGAAAGTGTAAGTCACTCTGAATAAAAGATTTCATGTCTGTGGGTTCAGATTTGACGGCGATAGTGTTCTGAGTTAATGTATGAAGGAAATACCTTAACTGCCTCCAGGAACCGTGAATCCGCCCACTCCACTGACAAGTTGTCTGATTAACAGGCAAGTGTGTCACAGCCTCTGCTGCAGCTCCCAACTCCTGACTGTGGTAAAAGCTGGTGAAATCATCGGGTAAAAAAAAAAACTTTCCCGCACCTGCATTCACGTAGTGACTCTCAGCTGCGGCTCAGCAAGGGAAACTAAAAGAACTACAGCTCAACAACAGATGGATGTATTAATGGGAAACACTGCACTAAAGGAGGCTTCAGGAACAGAGGAATGAACACTGAGTGTGTTTCTGTTTTTATTGAGTTGAATTTTGGACATATTTAGTTTTTGCATATTTCTCTGAGACTGTATTCAGCAACAGAAACAATGAATGAAACGTGATGTTCTGAAACCTTTACAGCAGTTTGCCATGAGCATCACTTACTGCTGTTTGCTTTTTGTAAGACCTTACAGAATATTAAAATATCTTTTGTTCCCCCTTAATTTTGTGTTTCTTTGAGCTGCAGATAAGGATCATTACAAAACTGCTGCATCAGTTTGTGTCTTACAGTTTACTTCTTCCTGTTGATAGTTTCACCAGAAAGGTTAATCAGAAGGTTTATTTTCAGTTCCACATAGCTGTAAAAGGAAAAAAAATGGCTGAAATTGATTAGAAAGATCCTCAGATAAGCTGAGTGTGGCTGACGTGTGGAATATTTATGTTTTTCTTTTAGACTTTGTTACCTGAACCGACCACTTTCTGTTCCTGGAAGAGCGGTTTAGTTTTAAGAAATGTCACTGATGTCACTGTCCACTTCTCATTGTTGTGTTCATTTCCTCCTTGTCAGATGTCTTACAGACGATCAGCTGCCAAATATTCATCTCACGCTTCCTTTTTCCTGTAGGGCGCAGCTTTATTCTCATTTCATTTGGAAGCTTTCATGTTTTTGTCATTTAGCACCACCCTCAGGTTAAACTTTACTCTGTTAATTATAGTGTGGCTGTGGATGTAGAGTTCAGATCAAATCTCCTAAATCTCCCTTTGCTTTTTTATTTTTAGAGAGAAAAAATCCACGAACGCTGCAAGGCGATCTGTCCCAACAAAGACGACGTGGACGCCGTCTCCAGTATCACCACCAACCACGGTATGAATTATTAACCAGCTCCCCGACGGCCTTCTCTCGAGCACGTAAAATCACCAGTGATATCACACATCGCCTTCACACACACACACACACACACACACACGAGAAACCTCCCACCAACCATCAATCTGGACAGGTCTGAAATATGAGCATGTGACCAGACCAGCAGCCCACCTGATTGATTTAAGTGTACTCGTAGGGGTCAGGGGTCCATGTTAATGACTTGGAGCCTCTTAAAGGGATAGTTCAGGCTGTATGATGTACTCCTACACAGTCAGTGTATTATATTACCTGCAGTAGGTGGCATTTTGGAGAGACAGAGTTGTACTGGCATTGAAGTTAAGCAATGTGCTGCTGTGGACAGGGTCTTTGGGACGATGTTTTCTCAACCGTATTACTTCTGTATTCTTACGCATTAACGCAACATGGCTGCACACTGTATAAAGTAAAGGGCTGTCAGACAGCAAGGTAAAGCTCTGAAAATATACTAAATAAAGCACTTAAAGTAAAGTACACTTTAAGTGATATTGACTTTTTTTTCAGTGGGTCTTCTTTTAGACGGCTAAATTACGTTAGCCGCTGACCCTGACCACAGCTGTACGTTAGCTTAGCTTCTGTACCAGTACAACTCTGTTCCTCCAAACTGAGAACTAAACTAAAGCTTAAACTACATCTGACTAGCTGAATGATGACCAGTGACTGATCCAGAGCTTTTCTTGTTTCCTTCAGACAAATCCAGAGCTGAGCTGGAACAAGTCCCGAAGGTAACACTTCTGCTCTCCTTTATTCTCTGTTTTTATGGGATCGGAGTTGTAGAAACTGAAGCTTTAACACTTGAGTTCCCCTTAAATGTACCTTTTTACAATAACATAAGCCCAGAAGTATAATAAAATGTGCAACATTCACCTGGACTTTTTCACCTGTCAGTCAGAGTCTGATTATTCAGTGTGATGAATTTATTGGCTGATTTGAACTTTTCACAAAGATATTAGTATCAGCATATTTGTTTGTCAGTAATTAAGATAAAGTTTCAGTGTAGAAAAGATATGTTTGAGATCATTTAGAAACGGTGCCAAAAATGTCTTTCCTTAAGTTTTCCATGTTGGAAATATCAGACTTTGTCCCTTTATCCATCATCTCTGAGATGAAACTTTAAAAAGCATGTTAATTAAATGCTCTTAGTTTCTAATTTCATATCTCCGCTGTTACCTTTTAGTTTCTGTGTGTCTCATAATGTCCTTTTTGTCTTGTGTTTTGAATTTGCAGATCTTCATGAAGCCTGACTTTGCTCTGGATGACCCGGTCACCTTCAACGCAGTCCTGCCCTGGTCGCACTTCAACAGTGCCGGGGGGAAGAGCAGCCGAGACGTGGCCTCCTCCAAACTGCTGCAGGAGAAGGTGAGAGACAAGTTTTAAATTTGGATTGCTGGAATATGTGGTGTGTAAAGCAACATCGCTGATCTGTCTCTCTGCCGCCCTCCAGCTGAGTCACTACCTGGATGTGGTGGAGGTGAGCATCGCCCGGCAGATCTCTCTGCGCTCCGAGGCGTTTTTTCACGCCATGTCCTCGCAGCACGAGCTGCAGGACCGGCTGCAGGAGACGCAGCAGGCCGTGGCCGTCCTGCGGGGCCGCACCGCCGCAATCGACCGGGTCATGTGTCAGGGGCCCTTACGGGCCGTCCGCACCGCCCTGACCCGCAACAACTACGTGAAGCTGCACAACAAGCTGAAGCTGATGGCGGCGGTGCATCAGACGCAGCCCACCGTGCAGCTGCTGCTCTCCACCTCCGAGTTCGTTGGAGCGCTGGAGCTCATATCCACCACCAAGGAGGTGCTGCAGCAGGAGCTGCAGGGAATCCACAGCTTCAGGTGAGGGAGGCCAGGTATCCGTGAATGCAGTCAGATTCAACGCCAAATTAATTTTCATGCTTTATTTGCACACATTTGACTTCTGGACTGTTTTTACTGTCCGTGTTTTATCCTCTACAAACAGCCATTGTGATTTTTATCTTTAAAAAAGGTCTGTCTCTGTGGGGATCTTTTCCGTATTGTTGTCAATGAAGAACTTTAGTCACAGTCAGACATTAAACCACAGATGATGATCAAATCATTTCATGTGACCATGTAAGCTTCAGTACAGGAAGCCACGGAGATACATTATTCAGAAACCACACAGACTGCAGCTGCAAGGCCACTGACTGACTGTCTTTCCCTCAGACATCTGGGCTCCCAGCTGTGCGAGCTGGAGAAGCTGATCGATAAGATGATGGTGGAGGATTTCAGCATGTACGCCCGCAGCGACCTGAACCGCAGCCTGAAGGACGAGCCGCAGGTCCTCGAGAAGGTCTGAACAAACTCCTCTATCACCTTCAAAGCCTTCTATTCATCATGTGTCCCAGAAAAAGACTTTGTGCTGCGCACATAGAACATAACAGATAATGATATTATAATAGAATCCAGTAACATACCAAATAAATAAACTAAAACAATATAGGACTTTACACGGTGTTGCATTTTTTGCATTTGCCTCAGGAGAATGTTAACGGCTGCAACAAGACACATGAAAGGTTCGACATTTAGGAAACATTTGCACTTTAAAACCAAAATGTGGTTTGATTTCTTATTTTCAAGCAGCTGGTTTTTCATTTTCATTTAAGTAGGAACTTTTTTTTTTGCTGTCGGGTAAGAAGGTTGTACTTTGGTCAAACAAGACATTTCCTGGCTCTTTGTATTTGAATTGTTGTGTATTTAACGGATGCTGTGCCCATCACAGGTCCACAGACCAAGCGCTGCCTCACAGAAGGTGGGCCACGCACACTACTGAAAAAAATCACATCAAATTGATGAAATCACGCCTGTGGCTGAAATCGGGTTCAGCTGTCAAAGTAGAGATCAGTGATTTGATCAGATATTGTGTGGAAATATTAATTTAAGTGTGTGTTTTAATGAGCTTGGAGTGCCAGATGGGTGGGGTCAACGGTCAAGTTAATGAGCTCCAGAAAGCTCATCGAAACAACTTTTCAGTCGTGAACATAAAGATGGATCCATGTGGTCCATACCTTTCAACACTGGGATTTAAAAAATAAGGGAGTCCTTGCGTTACTGTTCTTCTTCTTCTTTTATTGGACAGTACCGTTTCAGCAGTGACTTCGTATCACTACATGTTACAGCTAATGTTCTTCATGTGTAGCAAACATATCAAATATGCCCAGCGGGTTCTTCGTTTTATTTTTTAGAAAGGTAAAAAAAAACAAACAGAGGAGATTAATGGGGAGAAACAGGAGGGTTGACAGGAACTTTATGTCCATCTGGTCCAAGCAAGTAAAACACAGTGAAAAAAGTTGAATTATGTTTTGATTTGATCCTGAAGAAGAAATTTTTTAATTTACTACAGTACATATTCATATTTATTCTCAGTCGAATCAGTGATAAAGTTAAGGATTTTGATATGACATACATTTCCTTAATTACTTCAGTGATTAAAATTTAAAAACAAATGTTTTCAATTGTAGCTACTGTACAGCCTGATTATTTTTTTTTATCAATTAAGATTCATTTATTGATGAATTTGTTGCTTGTGAAGATTTTCTTGCTTGATTAAAGTTCGTCTTGTCGTCTGCAAACTTTTGATTCTGCACCTATTGTTGTTGTTGAGGACTCCGTTTAGTGAATTGTTTTCGGTGTGTGTTTTAGGAGCGTCTGGAGTCTCTGGTGTTCGGCCTGCTGCGGCAGAGGAAGCTGGACTTTCTGGATATCTACAGCGATGAGATGATTGCTGCTGCTAGGGCCATCGTCAGCCAGGTACGACTCCTGACACTGGCTGTGTAAACAACTCAAATACGAGTACAACTCTCATTTGTCTTATTTGTGTGACATTTTAAAACCATTTTAGTTATTGTAAAAACGTTTGTGTTTGCAGTGTGTGGCAGAAAGTGTTTTGCACATAGAAGAAATCGACACTGAAGTCGTCACTAAGTAAGTAGAAAATGTAACTCGCATGATTTGGAGGACTGTTGATCTATCGAACCGTTCTGTGGTGTTATATCATCATGGACTTTGTTACAAATCGCTGGATTACCCAAAAACAGACATTATAGCCTGGTTATTTCATCCACAGTATCAACTTTTGAAATTGATTTCAAGAAAATTGACTTAATTACGAAATACCCTAAAACTTTAATTAATAGCCTGGTTTTTATTTGCTTCATTCACTGAACTCTCACAGATTTCTTTCTTAGCAGAGAGGTGAACTTGGCTACTATCAAAGTGTTTATTTAAACCAGTATGAATATAAAAGTTAGGCTGTGGAAAGACAGATAAATAATGAATCATCCATTTTGTCCAGGCCAACCTCATGTACAAACACGGAGACAGAAACTACAGTAGAAAGGTTGAAAGCCAGTTATTTAAACTCAAAGCCAGTCATTTTTATGGAAAACCTTTTTGATTCTTTTGATCGATGGACCAAAGGAATATAAATTATCGAAGAATCGAGACATATTCCAACGTAAAGGCCTCTTCAAAAGTCGGGAGTAAGCGTTTTTTCCACCGTCTCTCTTGTTTACCATATCATACCAGTAAAACTGGATAAATTATACTTTGGTGCTCACTGGTTCTGAAAAACGAACTAAACGATTGAATTGTGAAGAATCTAACTGATCTAACGATGTGTAGCATGTTTGTATTGACAAAAGTTTAAACATTTATATTTGTATGTGTGATCTAAGCAATTCACACAGGAGACCGAATGGCCTTTAAGAAGTTTTATACATCCAAATAACGTCTGTAAAACACAGACCATGCTTCTAATTGACACCTGCATCTATTGTTCAAAATGTGTAGCCACATCAGGCCAGTAAACAGGCCAGGTGTCTAATTGGGAACTGAAGATTTACAGTATATGTGATATTGTGGTCATAAAATTACAATTGCATGTGTTTACCTGTATAACCCTCTTCTAATTTTGACTGTAAACAAGCTGTGTGTGTCTGTCTGTCTATATATATTATAGATAGATGGATATAGATATATATTATTATTTTAAACTTTGATAAGTCTTTTTATGTGACATTACTTTATGATTTGCATGTCAAATTACATCAAAAATCCGTCCAGGAACATGAATCAAAGTACATTAGATATAACAAATACTAGCAGAGAACAGTTTTTTTCTATCAAAGCAAAGTGAAACACCTCAAAGAGCATGTGCATAAGTAATGAGCAGGATGTTTTTAACATTATGTACACTGTGTGTCTCCAGGCTGGCTGACCAGATGCGTGTGATGATGTTCCCTCAGTGGTTTGAGCTGCTGAAAAATGTCTTTGAGAGTTTCCTCCTCTTCCTGCAGAGGATCAAGGTGAGTCGAAACTCTACAGAAAATAATGAGACCTGATGGCCTCGTTCAGTTAGTGTTTAGAAGATGGTTCAGTTATTTTGAGCATGAAAGTTAATTTTACAGAACATGTTTCATTACGCGCTCATTCCCTCTTCTCCGTCTGTCAGGCCACTCTGATTGTGATCAAAAACGTGGTTCAGGAGATTCTGGCCTCGAGCCAGAAGAACCGGCTCCTGGAGGAGGCCCGTTTGGGGGCTTCAGGCCAGGAGGCTTTCCACGGCCCGTCGCCCCTGCAGGGGGAGGCCGAGCTGGCCCTACCTCACCCACGAGGGTTTGTTCATCAGTGACGCTCTGAACGAGGCCCAGCAGCCGCAGCAGGCGGTGGTCCTGGATCAGAGCTCTGGGGCGGGCTCCAGGGTACAGCAGAGCCGGGCGGAGGCTGCCGGCAGCAACTCTGGGACCACAGAGTCCTCTTTCTGCAGGGAGCAGGGCTTCACGTAAGGTTTCTTTCTTATTTGTACCTCAACCGTGAGTCTGATGGGTTGTTTTTTGGGGGAATAACAGACAGCTTGGGCGTTGGGGGGGTCTGTCTTAGTGGGGTTTATTTTCTATTTCCAGTAGCTTATTTCTTTTTCTTATTTTACAATTTTAATTCTACTTCATTCTACTTAATTTCCACCGTGGTAGCTAACAAATGACATCTGCAATGGTGTGATCACTGTTGCTTTACCTCGTCCGTACTTCACATCCACTTTAATATATCTTTGGGGGGGCGGCCTGTCTATATGTTGGAAACCTGAATAAAACAAGTAACTGTGATGTTGGGAGGAAAGAAATGTTTGACAAACAAGTTTGAGGAATCGTTTTTTTTTTTTTAACTTGATGATAACATATCAGCTAAGTTTTTGATGGTTTATAATAGATTAGAATTAGTCTTTTAAAAGATGCACTTTGAGACTATCTGTGGTTCAGTGGAAAAACTGTTCATCACTGCAATACGTGCGCAAAACTTGGGTTTTTATCTAACCTTTCAACGTTTCAATGTTGACAGCCCTAGATTTAATCTTTGGTATGAGCCCAAAAGTGATAAAGACTTTCAATAGTACAGTTTAAAACAGCATGTACTGACTATTTCATCTTCTGTACCTGTGTAGGTAAATGTAAAGACGTGGTTATACTATACTCACACAGAGGATATTATACAAGTGTACAACAGGAAAAAAAGCCACAAATACAAGACAGTACAACACAATTTAGATATTTGTATGACGAGTTTGGTTTCTTTTTTTGCATAAAAAACAAACTTGATCCTGTAACGCGAGGCAGCTTTATTTATGGAGCGCATCTGAAACACAGAGGCAGTTTAAAAGACTTAAAAATAATTATCAACTAAATATAAAATCAGATTTAAACATTAATAACATACAATTAGAGCAGAAATATAGTTGAAGTGCAGTAATGAGGTTTAAATATTGCGATGGAGCGTGGTAGTTGTTGTTTGGAAATGAAAATGATTGATGTGTGCAGATGTGTCAGACAGAGACAGTGAGTGTGTTTGTCCTCAGGTCCGGTGAGAACATGATGCCCACTGAGCTGGAGCTGAACCGCGTGATCAACAACATCCAGGAGCTGCTGCACTCGGCCTCCGACGTCAGCCACGACCGCTGCGTCAAAGTCCTCACAGCCAGAGCCAAGGTACAGCCCCCCCTCTCCGCTCACAGCAGCTGGTAATGTTACACTGTTATCCAGAATGCAACTGGTAGAGTGTGTTCTTTCTGTTTAATTTAATTTAAGGCCTAACATGTTTTAAAGAGTCTGTAAGCTCAGACGGGAATTTTATTTTGTTCAGTCTTAATGTTTTATATCCCTGAAAAGCATCCGGGTCCTTTTGTTTTATTTGCTTGTATGTTTTTTTGTCTACTGAAAGCTCAACTAATCCTGCTACAGTTCTTATTCATTACAGCAGGTAGGAAAAAGTTAGGTTTCTAATAATAGTTATTTTTTGCAATTATAAAGGGATAGAAATGGTATTGGTATGGTTCTTATTTTGGAGTTGTTCCAAAGGTTACATTTGTTCTCCAGAGAGTGTGCAGACACCCTGTGGAAACTTCACGTCAATATACAGCTGCATCTCAGAAAATATTGTGAAAAAGTATTTTTTTTCTCCTTAATTTAAGTAAAAAACTGAATCTTTCATATATTCTAGGTTCATTATACATAACATCAAATATTTCAAGCCTTTTTTTGTTTTGATTACAGCTCAAAATATTAGAATAAAGAGTGTAAAATACAGAAATGTCAACCTTCTGAGAAGTTAAAATGTTCTGAATAAGGTTCATTTATGCATCCAACTTTCTCTCTCGTGCTGGTGCTGAACAACAAGACTAGAGATGGGGATCAAGACCCGGTTCTAAAAGGACCTGGTTCCAAATTTCTCAAAACCCGAAAATCAATAAGGTCCGAGCTTATTGATACTGCTACAGAGACTAGCGGCTCCTGAAATGTAATGCTTTGTCTTGATAGACAAGAATCGTGTTAATTAAATCATATCGCTGGTGCACAGATATACATTTATTGTCCAATAAAAGTTTTTGAAATCAATTGAATTGCCTGCCAACCGCCATTAAATTAAAACGAGGAAGAATTTAGTTACCTCACGTCCTCGCTCGCTTCATTTCTCATTTGGTCAGTTGGTTGTTTGGCTGAACGTGCAAAGCGGTCAAAGGCTTGACATTTCAGTAGTGATATCGGTAACAACTCGGATCGTTAGGCAGTCGCAAATGGTATCATTATCAATAAAATTAACAATCCCCATCCCCGATCAAGACGTTTTCTTTCTAATTATTTCATAGCCCTAAACCAGACCTATAAGCATATTGATAGAAAATTCACAACTAGTTAACTATAGAAAATGCATCATTAATTCACAGTAACATCACATTATAAGGCAAATGTAAATTGTTTTCATATCCCATGATGCTTCAGTCCACAGAGTTTGTTTTATATCCGCAGAGGTTTGACTGAGAGAAATGTCTTTAAAGTGAGGTGAAGGTGAACTTTCTATCTGACCTCTTGGATCGTCTCTGTCTCCCAACAGGACGGCTCTCTGGAGCGTCTGAGCTCGGCCGAGTTTGTGTCTCTCTCTCAGGCGGTGGAGGGTTTCGTCAGAGACACAGAGGAGCTGTGCGGCAGGCGGAGCGTCTCCCTGAGGGGGGCGCTGCAAAGCCAGGCCAACCGCTTCGTCCACCGCTTCCACGAAGAGCGCAAGACCAAACTCAGGTTACCAGCAGCTCATTATGTAGCGCAGGAGTATGGACACCTCAGTGGTTTTCAGTTTTGCCCGTTGCTCTAGTACGCAACAGTCTGTGGAAACACTGATGTCTGTTCGTCAGACAGGAAAGAAGCTCTCAGTTTTTATGAACTACTGTATTACTTGGTGATTCTGATTCGTTTCAACAATGAATAACCTTTTGTTACATGATGGTAATGGCACAAATAATAATCACAAAATCAGCTGTTTTCAACAAGCACGTCATAGACTAAGTCCCTCCCCTTCCGTCGACCCACCATGGGAACTTAGTTCGGAAAAAATCTGTACAGGTAGTAAACAGCGGGAGACAACTAATGTTTTGATCCTGTTTGATCTGGGGGGACTACATGTGAAAAGGTGCTGCAGCAGTTGAAGTCCTGGTTTAATTTGACCTTATAAACTGACCCAGAAGCTGAAGCGTGACCCTCCATGAATGCAGCGACGGTGTTGGTTGTGTGTCTTGATGATGATGATGATGGTTGTTGTTGTTGTTTTGTGTAGCCTCCTCCTGGATAATGAGCGCTGGAAGCAGGCCGAGGTTCCTGCTGAGTTTCAGGATCTGGTGAACTTCATCGCCGACGGAAGAATAACACTACCAGAACGCAAAATCCCAGGTACCCAAAAAACCCAACTGCAGTAAAAATAATTACTGGAATTTGCACACAGTTTGAATCAATCAATAAGGCTACTAAAACTAAAACAGCTCTGTCTTTGAAATGTTCCAACTTTCTGCTACATTTTGTTTCGTACAATATCTTTATTACGCTTAAAACATAAACACAGACACAAACAGAAACAATACACAAGAACTGAAAAGCATCTACAGTCTCCTTCAAAAGTATTGGAACAGTAAGGCAAATTCCTTTGTTTTTGTTGTTCCCTGAAGACATTTGGGTTTAAGATCAAAAGATGAGGATGAGACAAGAGTTCAGAATTTCAGCTCTCATTTCCTGGTATTCACATGTAGATGTGTTAAAGAACTCAGGACATAAAACCCTTTGTTTGAACCCACCCAACCAAAGGGTTGTTAGATATACCCTTTATTACTTTATCATCCACGGCTGAGAGAGTAACCCTTTTTAAACTGATAATGTTCATTACAAATGTCTGAGAACATGACTGCCACATGTTCTGATGGAAGCAAATCATTTCAATTAGGAAATAAAATAAACAATATAAGCTAAAATATTATAGGCTGTCTTTATAAAAATGTGAGGAGACTTCTCCGAACTCGAATCTATAACCTCAAGAATTCATTCATGATTATTCTCAGAACAAGTGTTTGAAGACTTCAGTTAACATGTTCAGTTTCTGTGTGCAGGTTCAGAGGACAGGAAGCCTGCTGAGTTTCTGCTCGTCAACGGGCAAAAATACGCCGTCGTTGGGTATGTGCACTCCCTCAGTGAAGGGTTAAACATTTCTGATGTAACACAGCACTTGAAGTAATCACACAGTTACTGTTAATATATTATTCAAGAGTACACACAGTGATTTGCAATCTGCATAACGAAGACACTGAGCTGTGAGGGTTTCTGCTTCTTCAGGACGGTTCTGCTGCTGATCCGGATCTTTCTGGAATACTGTCAGTGTGTCAACGACATCCCATCCATCTGCACCGACATGCTGACGCGTCTGTCGGACCTCCTCAAGGTCAGAACCGCCTCACTGATGAGCTGTGTTACTGAGAAGAACCTAAATTCTCCATGTTTATATTTTCCATTATACTCCATTTGTTGTTCTGAAAAATGAAAAATCTGAGAGGCTGAGAAATGTGACAGAAAGCGTTGACCTATATCAGTGTAAAATCTTTCTGTTTTGACTTTATTATATTGTTTGCCGAGTCATTTATTATTGCTTACTTTAATGTGAGCAAAAAGTAATTCAATATTAGTTAACACTCATTGATCACTGATGAAACATGTTTAAAACGCACGTCCAGCAATTATGTGTTGTGACCAACCATTAACCTGAGCCAGTACCTGATTCCATCAAAATCTGCAGCTGTGAAAATCTTACAGTAGTCGGAGATGACTGCGACTGACTTGGTAGTCTGTGAGCTGCAGGCGACTGCAGAGGTGGAGTATAGAAACTGGACACATTCTACCAGCGAGAGTTTACTGTGAGCTTAGAGCAACAGCTGATCTCAGTCAAAAGGTGGTTCTATTTTTGAAGTTGGAAAAAAGCAGCGACTGCAGCCTTTTGTGCTTTAAATTTCTGGTATTACGTTACAAGATGCGGACACCGTGGATATTTGCACGGACCAGGGGCAGCAGCAGTGAACACACCTTTGCAGATTTCATTCAGCGCCACGTTGGTTTCTACTGTTGCGATAGTCTTCATCATTACCGAGCCTCCTCCACATGTGAAAATGGAAAATCCAGATGAGTTCTGTGTCTTTTCTGCAACTTCATAAAACTACTGAAGGAGAAAGTTAGCGGCGCAGACACATACAGCGGGAGGCGGGGCCAGCGCGTCTGTTTTGCACGAGAGGCAGGAGGTGTTAGGTGTGTGGGGGGAAAAGCAAGGCGAGCATGTAGAGAGTAGAATAAAAAGGGTGAAATAAAACATGTAACCACACTTGCCCCCGCCGCCGTTACACTGTCATCCAATGGGAAGCCCTGCAGTGTCATGCTGTTAGCGTTGAGTTTCAAAACTGTCCTTCTGTTGTGTTTCTGCAGCACTTCAACTCTCGGAGTTGCCAGCTGGTTCTGGGAGCCGGAGCTCTGCAAGTTGTCGGCCTCAAGACCATCACTACCAAAAACCTCGGTACGACCAGCTGCACACACCAGTTTGATTTGTAAAGGAGCTTTTAATGCTTCAGTCTGTCTGAAAACGGAGACGATAGTTAAAAGCGTTGCCTCTGCTGCCAAATATTCAGACACTATCTCTCTGTGTGTGTAGCATTAGCTTCCCGCTGCCTGCAGCTGGTGGTTCACTACATTCCCATCATCAGAGCTCATTTTGAGACCAAGCTGCAGCCCAAACAGTACAGCGTCCTCAGACACTTTGACCACATCACCAAGGTAACACACAGCAATCACACAAACGTCCTCACATTTCTTCATTCTACGATCAAAACACTGGAAGCAGCTTTATTATGGGAAGAATTCTGACCCCAAGAATCAAAACAATTGTTTTGTACTTTGAAGTATTTTGGTGAAAAGGTGTCGTTGGGACTGTTTGTTTGCTTTTAAGGACTACAATGATCACATATCGGAGATCTCTGCTAAGCTGGTGGCCATCATGGACAGTCTGTTTGAGAAGGTTTTATCAAAGGTGAGTTCAGGTTTTAAAGGTTTAAGCTTTTTTTAGTTAAACTGCAGCGTTTAGGAGACATTTCTGTAAAGCTGGTGTTCTGCATCTTGTATGTAAGCGTCATTACACTGATCCTTCATCCAGGTGTCACGTTTGATCACAGCTTTCCAACGGTCCTGGCGGTCATATGGTGCAGACATCAACAGCGGCAGTTTAGAAGTAATCTACAGACGCACAGAAACAAACTGGAGTAAAATAAACCACTAAATGTGTTTTCTTTCCAGTAGTCTGAAAGAGAACATGTTATGGAAGCTAAATAGCCGGTGCACGCTAAAACTGTGTTTGCATGCCGTGTCTCGCCTTAAGGATGTTGTTTTGTTGTTTTCTCAGTATGAAGTGAAGGCGCCGATGCCCTCGGCCTGCTTCAGAAATGTCTGTAAGCAGATGGCGAAGATGCACGAAGCCATTTCTGAACTTTTACCTGAAGAACAGACACAGGTGAGACACAACACACCTGCCTCTCCTTCTGTTATTAAAGAGGTTTACTGTCCCGAGATGTGGTTTATTCAGGGCCGGCCTCTTGGTGAGACTTTATATTGGTCTGCTCTAATTTCTGCATCAATTTATGGTGTAAATGTGTTTGTATATGTAAAGGGAAACACAAAATGCAGGTGACAGTTTAAAATATAAGATATAATATAATTGTGTAGCGAACTACTCCACCTGCATCCCTGAAAGTGTTGTTTTTATTTCTTTTTTGACTCTCTAAAGGAAATCCATTACAAACATAGACTTCACAGACTAATAAGTCCCCTGCACAGTAAATCCCAGCTGTCGAATTGTTGTGCTCGACCACTCCACCTCACTCTGAACACAGACTGTTTCTGCTGCTCTCTGATAGAATAAAAATATTTCTGCTGGTACCTGGAAACAGATTTATATATGTCAACCTGTTGCTCAGAAGGTGCCTGTTATGATGTTATGATCATGCTCTGGACTTAACAAGCTATAAAAGGTAACGCCCTGGCAGTGGCAAACAGCTTTGCTTTTATATTTGATTAGATTACATTAATGTTTAAGAAATAAATATTGAAAGAAATCTTTTATTGCTGCTGTGTAAAGGGAATACTGCTGGGAAAAAGCAAAGTGTTTGCAAACCACACGTTATTGCACTTTTGTGTATATAGCAGTACATTTAAATTAAAAGTGCACAAAACACTACTTTAGAATTCATTATTCAGTTTTGCGCATAACAATACGATTAATAGCAAGAAAATTATGCGATAAATTTTTTAATCGTTGCCCAGCACTAGTTATTACTTGAGTCGAAAACCTTCTCTTGCTGCCCTAAGCAACAGTCTATGGCCCCGGCTGGCCCTGGGTTTATTTATCTGTGAACGATTCCCGGAAAAGGTCTGGGAGTCCAGTTTGTCTGCAGTGTGAATATGTCGCAGCCTCAGACAGATGTGTTCTCCTGTACAGATGTTGTTTCTGAGGATCAACGCCGGTTTTAAGATGCACCTGAAGAGGCAGCTGGCTCGACTCGGGGTGGTTAACGACGGAGGACCACAGCACGGGTAACTGCGCCACACGCATCGACAGTCAGAGCAGCTGATAATTAAAGGTCTGGTTGTTTGACTGACGGGTTGTTGCCTGCAGGCTGGTGGTGGTGGACGTCGCGTTCTACACGGAGAACGTCCAGGCGCTGAAGAGCCTCGAGCGGCTCGACCTGAACATGGCAGAGATCTGGGAGCAGAAGAGGTGATGGAGGACGGCGACGAGACGTCCAGAACCGACCGACCCGGCCACCCGGAGACGGGCTGCCGACCTCGGGGGCCGACGGCGGCCGGCTGAAGCTTGGGGAGGCCCCAAGGGACCAAAAACACAAAACTGGGAGAGGAGAAGAGCAGAAACACGCCGGGGCTTCCTGAACAGCTCCACCTTAAAATACTCTATGAAGCAACACACAGAGCCTCCTTAAAAACTGCTGCCACTCATCTCACTGTGTGCAACAGAAATACTATTAAATTATAGTTTTAACGGGAGTGAAGGGTGTAGATACTGTTAGATAATGGCGGGGTAATTTATTTTTCTGTCTTGAAAACATTCTCCACTGTGGTGGACTTTTTCTCCAGCGGGGACGGGATGTTGGAGCCGAAGGGAATTATCATCAACGCACACTGAAAACAATTTTTTTCCGCCGCTGGTTTCGCAGATTTTTGCTAAAACCTCACAGCCGAGGGTTCAGGAGTCGGGGGGGAAGATGTGATTCGCTCTGGAAAGAACCGGGTTTTTTTCTACTTCCTGCTCTGAAAGAATCGACAGGTTTCCTTCACGGCGTTTCCAAACCTTTTCCTCGTTCATCGTCTGGTTTGATTTTTATCCAGACGGCTGAAAACAGACGTGGTTTCTTTTATACTCAGAACAAGAAGATTTTCCAGACCTCTTATGGAATACCAGACAGGTTGAGACCTGGAGGAGCCCTAAAGAAGCAGGAGCTGATTTTAAAAAAGTGTCGTTGAAGAGTTTACTTCCTAAACATTTGGGGAAGAATCAACTCTCAGCTACATCCTGTTGCTACCAAAGTAAAACAAGTCTCTAATTTGGAAAATAAACTCTTCAACTGCACTTTCCCCCTCTTCTCTTTAAAACAATCCAACCATGCATCAAGTTTCAGCTGAGTGATATTCAGGCCCCGGCAGATGGTCATTTTTCTACATGTAGTTAATTGATGAGTTTTTTTGACTGCAGAACATGAAGCATGAAATAAGCTGTTAACTCAAACTACTGTCGATCCTTCTCCCTCCTGCTGTAGCTTTATTTAATCTGCATGAGCTTTTTGTTTCTTTCCAGTGAGAAACGACAGAACAGAAAATCTGATTCATTTCTAAATCTATCTACTAAAATATCTACTGTGGATCTTCTTAGCAGAATTTCCTGAATGAAAGTAAGCGAGCGCTGCCTGGAAAGTTAGAAAACAATCATGTGAGAGATCATGTTTCCCCGGTGTTATCAGTTGTCAATCACAGATGATCACATCGCGAGATGTGAACCAATCAAGCTGAAGTTTACCCGAAACATTTCTGGTGCTGCTTTCAGGTGCTGTCATCTAACAAACTGAAAACGAGTACTCCTCATTTATTCATACTCAAACATTGTCCTAAATAAAATGGTGTGAAACATAGTGTGCACTAAAAGCTTTACTGGTTGAGCTCATTTAAACATGAGCAGACAATATAATGCAGTATTTACTGACCTTTTCAACTGATCAAAGTTACTTATCAAGTGAAATTTTAGATGACGCGGTTTTTCTTTAAAACTCTGAGCTTAGTTCATCAGTCGAGGAGTTTAATTTATGTAGACAAAGCGAGTTTTCTTAGAAGGAACGCCTTAAAACGCACGATTAGACACCCGGTCATCACGTGATTTTGGGTAATGAATCCTTAAACCTGCTGCACAGCTGTGGTACAACCACACAGATGTTCCCAGGTGTTCTGGCTTGTTGTGCTAATACAGACACACTTGAATACAAGTGGTATTTTGTTTACCTGGAGTGGAAACTAGACTCAGGGCTGAGTGTTGGTGGATAATTTTTCACTCGCCTGTTAAGAGCTGTAACCCTCTAAACTCCCGCTGAAGCTCCCAGCTTCAGCCTGAGCAGAGTCAGAACACCTGAGAACACCGGTGCTTACAGCAAACGCAGTTTTCTTCAAACATCAGATTTTCTGTTCTGAACTCCGACCAAACAAAACACAGCTGTCCAGCTGCGGTCACGTCACCGTCAGGTTAATCAGTCTCTGAAAGCTACTTGAACACTACAGGCAGCGATGAATCGGAAGAGAACCTGGATCCCATCAAACCAGACAGCTTCTCTTCTGGTTTCTGTCTCACAGCATTAATCAGCTTTTAAACTTTAAAAAGTTCATCGTAGAGAAAATATTCGTTTTCGGGAGATCATATCCCGTTATCGCAAGAAAACCAAACTTTCCTATCCTGAGATAATGTGACAGAGAAATGTGGTAAAAATAAATGACTTCACCTACAGTTTAGGGACAAACCCACCCACCCAGAGGACAGTCAGAAACTGTGTTTAGTTCAAAGTGAGCTGGATGACGAGGCGTGACCGCAGCTGTCAGTTTCCTCTGAGACTCAACTTTCATCACTGTCCGCTTCAGAAGTGCCTACTTTTGATCGACTGTCTGAGACGACACATCTGAGCTCTCCACTACAGTGTGCCTACCATACCACTGTGTGTGTGTGTGTGTGTGAGAGAGTGAGAGAGAGTGAGTGAGTGTGCGAGTAAGTGTGTGAATGAGTCGACCCTCTGTGTTCGGTTCAGACGAGTCGGGCTGCATGTCTGTCTGAGAATCCAACAAATGTCTTGAATCCTTCAAACCTGATGTGAATAAAACAGGATGATGGAGCGGCGTGCTGTTTTCTCAAGTCTCTTTGTTTGCTGCAGATAGTTTCAGCTTTAAGGCTCAGAAGTACTCAGATCTATAAATACTACAGTGTAGGAAAGCTGTTGCAGGTAAAAATCTTGCATTTAAAATGTTACTTGAGCAAAAGTACAGAAATATTGGAATCAAAATATATTTAAAAGTAGAGCTTGATATGAGCTGAATGCAGATAAATTGGTATCTAAGGTTATTACTATTGTTCGTGTTATCTTTTTGTGAAAAGCATAAAAACCAAGTATATTGGGTTTTAAAATTCTCAGATATATGAGAGAGATGAGATGTAGCTAGTTCACAATTTCCTTTTTGATTATATTTAGTATTAATCTGATTCTGCAAAGTATCTAAAATGATCAAATAACTGTAGTGGAGTAAAAATATTTATGCTTGTTGTACCTCAAATGTTAGATATTTTTATCCAAAGCTACTAAAAATGAGTAAACATTTTCTGATACTTTATACTTCACTAACAGTTCAGAGGGAAAGTACCTCAGAACTGCACTTCAGTACTTCAGTAAATGTACTTAGTTGCTTATGTATTTTTATAGCAGAGATTTGATATGGACAAAAACACAAATGCTGTTTCCTGATACTTTATTTTGAGAAATAAGTTAGGTAGAATTTTATCCATAAACCCTTTTTATTTTGTTTAAAGGGGCCATGTATAGGTTTTAGGGGCCTCCCACAGTGCAGTTTCTGATTGCAACCACTGTCTTTCTAGGTGTGTGGTTTTCTGATGCATAGTAGACACAACGTGCTGGGAACTCTCACTGCAACGTTACAGCAGTATTTTTATCAGCTGGAGGTTGAACTAACCCATGCTCGTTACAGCTGTTTAATAACTATTTGTGCGTCTTTCACTGGAGGCTCAGCGATGTGAGCACAGCAAAATGTTTTGGATGATAAAGTAAGGGTTTGTGAGCTGAATGTTATGAGATTGTTGCCACTTCACAGTTAGTTACCATAGTAACGTTACTGCAGTGAATGGGTCCTCCACCTCAGTTATGTTGCATTATTGTTTTTATGTAACTTACAGTGACTGTGTGCAGACATGGTGTGTGAGCGACATCCACTTTGTTTTGGATGTAAAAACAGAGTTGGCTTTCATCCTATTGGACCAGTAAACTAACTTTACTGCAAAGCATGTGAAACTGTGACTTTGTGCTTTAGTCTGCACAAGTTGTTCTCCCCGTGTCTGCGTGGGTTCTCTTCAGGTGCTCCGGCTTTCTCCCACAGTCCAAAGACATGCAGGTTAATTGGTGACTCTAAATTGTCCTTGGGTGCGAGTGTGAGTGTCCAGGATGTACCCCCCTCTACACCCACTGCCAGCTGGGATGGCTCCAGCCCCCCTGTACAGACGATAAGCTGTTGACAATGAGTGAGTTGGCTCAAGTTAGATAATGTTAGCTTGCCTGCTAACTCCAACCAGTTGCTAACGTTTCAGGTACAAAATCCTATTGTTGTAACTTTATGGTTTGATCACCAGTTAATGCGATCCACATTGTTAATCCTGTGCACCACTGGTGTTATGTGTTGATTTATCCTGCAAGAAATGCTGTAACAGTTAGGGTGACCATATGCCCTCTTTTCCCAGACCTGTCCAGGATTCAGCTTTTTCTTTCTACAGTGCATATTTGCATTGCTTTGCTCTTTAGGTCCCGCCTTCTTGCATGCCATCATTGGTCAGTCACGTAGGCCCACCCATCCTAAACCGAAACATTGGTCTAACGTCATCTAAAAAGCGAGTGCATAAAGTTGCTCCTCAGTTATTTTTCCTGAACCGACCAATATGGGGCAGGACTTTCAAAATGTTAAACTGCATGAATGGTTGTGATTATTGATGAGCACTTTGCATTAACAAACCTTTTTGTGCATGTAATAGGTTTGCAAAAGCCCAAAGGGAGTTCCCATCTCCCACAGAAAACTCTGCTCTGAACTGCCAGAAAACGGCTCGTTTGTAGTCCCTGTGACGACAAAGGGATGAAAGCTAAATGCGCTACTCAAAAACAGCGGTGGAAAAACAGTGAGCTGCAGCACACAGCTCTCCTCTTCCCTCCAGGCAGTCAATGGACATAAAGTTGTTACTGTGATGTAGAGACAGAGCTCAGTTAAAACTTTATTGATGAAAGATACTTTTGTTACAGATTAATACTCACCACTCTGACACTTGTTCCAGTCCATGTTGCCAAGCTTGGCAACATGTACAGCTGAATCGAAGCTGTTTACCGGCTTCTCACTGACCCGCCCTTCTCTGCTTCTGATTGGCTAGTAGTCCTTAACTAGGAACTGCGCATGTGCAACTCCCAACAAAGATCATTTAGAGGCAAGATGTATCACTCCATAGCTACAAAATAGGGTGAAAAGAGGACCTGCAGCAATGTGCAGTATGAAGAAAAAACAAAGGTGTTTTTTGAAAATGAAACCATGTAAACCTGAAAATTAGCAGAATATGACCTCTTTAATGAATGAGAATCTGTTTCTAAAACCAGTAGTGATGCAGGGCAGTGGCAGCCAGCCACATTAGCATGGATCTGATGATGTTTGCTTTGTACTGTTCAATTTAGATTTGTTGTTTTACTGATACACGAGCACACGCTTGGGAAGGTAGCAGTTGCAATCTTAAACCTCAGTGCTAGAGGCCTCAGAAAAAAACTACAAATGGCCACTTTAAAACAAAAAAAGCGCTACTCCAGTTTCTGCCTGTACTTCACCTAAACATCACACGACACTCGTTGACCCATATTGCACTTTAATAGACAGCAGAAACAGACTGTGCAGCGATTGTTTGCAGTAACAGCAAGTTTCTTCCTGAAAAGCTTCACGATGAGCAGAAAGTCTGCAGATGCATCAGGAAGAAGGAGGGGGTTTGACCTGTG